TCCACTGTCACTAATCAATGCCTCTATCTATAATATTATATAAGATTTATAAATAAATCGTATGCTATTCATTAATTTTAATCAATATGATGAAATATTTACTGAGAATCAACTAGTCAAATGCTTTTGACAAACCAAAAGGAAGACCATCAGAATAAAATATACCTATGTTCTAAGAGCCATTTTTCGAATAGACAGATTGATATCGACATCATATCAGTAGGTTTTAGCTTTCGATTTATGCACAATTTACTGTAAAATAGACAAAAATATACATCACGAATATCACGTCATTTTAATATGAATACCTGTTAAGGTTAGAATCAAATTTTATTAAAACTAGTTGAGCACAAGCTGAGAGGTCCATTCGATCTAAGCAATACTTAATATTTTTTATTCTTTTATGTTTATAGACTTATCAAACTATCAGTAAATAAACAGCATTTTTCAACTTTTTAAATTGTTAAATATTTCGGTAAATTTCAATAATTTATGGAGTCTATTTATCTTGAGAATAAATAAGGATAAAAACTATTATAATAAGAACAATATAAACTAAATTACTTCAGTTTAGATTGGTTTCATAAATGGATCAATGTTAGTTCACCACTGGAAACCTGGAAACACTGGATGGCCGTTTTGTCCTAGTATGTGTGTGTTGTGAGGTAGTTACTAACTGAAGACAATGGTGGGCAGTCGAGCAGTATCATGGACTGGTTGAAGCTAGACATTAACACCGTTGGATACCGGCCCAGTTAAGCGTCCGCGCTAGACCGAAAGTCCTTGGTTCGAGTCCCACATGCAGGATCGTGGTTGTGCAGGGCTGAGAAGTCCCATACTAGGACGAGACGGCCGTCCAGCGCCTCCAGCTCTTCAATGGTGATCCAACGCTGATCCATTCATGATATCAATCTAAACTCAACAATCTCCACAACCCTATACTGGTAATTTATTTTAATTTAATTTTTCAGCTGTTTGTAATACAGAAATATATTTATATATTTATAATACCTGTTATGACTTTTTAAAATGGAGTGAAACGTAAATATATTAGCTGAAGTGTAGAGTATCAAATCGATTCTAGTCATGTTGTCCAATCAGAATTGTTTCTTTAAACATTTACATGACCAAAAAAATGTCGTGAAAATAGAGCATGAAACAAAAATCTATACACTACAGAGACTGTAACTGTACAGAAGTACAGAAGCCTAAACCTTGAGAAGAAAAGTAGCGAGGTCAGTATTAATTATTTCAAACTGTTGTCGTATTGATAAAATAGTTTTCATACATGAATAAGCGACACTAAAATTAGAAGAAACAGTTGCATGATTGATTTACGGGGATTTATATGGTATGGAGACGAAGTCCGAGAAACGGAAAATCGATGTTAAATGATACTTATTAATAAACTTGATATTCAGATAATTAGTAGTAAGACTCTCAGCTTTATATACTTCTTTAACTATCACAACTCTGCTGATACTGTTAGTGCATATGATGTGCATATTTCTTAAGCAGACTATACTTCGAAACCTTTGATTTAACTTATATTAATACACCCGGCTGTCAGTAAACAAACATTAATTAATTTCATAGTTAACATAATGGAGTAATGGTAATTAATCAACCACTGAATACCATGAAGCAATTGACAGCTACTTCGTCCTAGTATGGGGTTCTTCAGCAGTACACAGCCACGACCACACCACCATAGACATTAATTAGATGATAAAATGTAAATTATGCGATAAAGTATATTTTATTAGACATAAATTTGTGATAATGTAAATATATAAGGCAAGAAATGACAAATCGATATGAAGTTCGAACGTTGACATTAATTATGTAATTTAGACTTTTTCAGTAGTTTTACACATAGAACAAAACATAACGATCTTCAATTTTTCCCATAAGCCAGTTAGATAACAAACATATTAGGAAAAATTTCAAGTATAAAGCTGAATTTTTTATAAAGTCGAATGCAAATCTTAAGAAGATAATTAGTATCATATCTACCAATAATAAATACATAAGTCTTTTGGAAGTTAATTAAAACAGAATCGTATTGCGTTTAGTGATCTTAGAACTCCCACTTGTAAACAAACGTGTTACTTGTCAATTCTCAGTGATCAATTATCGTAAATTTTTCAGTCCTACTGGTGGATAGTTTAGGCTCAAACACCCCAATGGTAACATTTCAAACTGAGGAATTAGATAATGTGAAATCGAATTCAGCTGATGGCATTAAACCCATTGAGATTAGTGGTACACTTTATTAACGAACCAGAGCTAGCATGAAACTCATATCTAAAATTTTCAGTCGACCACTTTTTACCACCTAAAAGCTTAAAATGAATATTGATTTTCAGTACGATCACTGAACTCAGAATGACTAGCTTCAGGTTTATGTTTTTGTGTATATGAAAAACCTAGCACACAGATTAACTCTTCTATTATCCTATATTCCTCTGTCAAGTGTATTTAGAGTTTGGAAAGGAAAATACGAGAAACTAGGAATTTTCAGTATTGAGAAAAATGAATAAACCGATAAAATAAAGATGTAATTTTCTTAATGGCACGTCTTAGCATTCATAATCTGTTGAAGTTATCACATTGTAGTATTAGTTAATATGTATAGAGTTTGGAAGCCTAATTTAAATAACATTTTGAGGTGTATTTCTTTGTTTGATATTGAATGACATGGAAAAAAATTGTGTGATTATGTAACAGCTCTTGAGTGATGAGTAATGGAACAAAATTGACTAACACATTGAAAAAAGCTAGAGCTTTTAATGCATTTCTGCGATGTCAGTTAACTGGAGATTCAATGAAAACCAAATTAAATTGGCTTAAAATACACAGATCAGTTATGGCGAAGGTCAAAAGTGTCTAGAGTGGCTAAGCAGAAGTGCCACAAACCATAAATTGGGTGTTTCATAACATTTAAGATCAAATATTCGTATCGACTCTTGTTTGGGCATTTTAATTTATGTTTACTAAACTCATAGATTGTAATCCAAAAAACAAAAACATACTGATTACAAATTAGTCTTACAGGTTACAGTTGATTAATTGATTCATCAAAATAATTGTCTTTGCTCAAATAAACTATTCTTCGAGTTTGTTTGCCTTACTTATAATGAGTTTGGTTATTTCTAGGTAAGTAAATTAAACATGATGATGCAACTGGTCTAGTCTTTTTGGTTTCTGATACAAAATTTTGATGTATGAATTTTAAAATGGTTATACATTAGTATGCTATTACAAATGAAAACACTTTAAACAAAAATATCGATCGAAAACTTTATCAGTGATCTACCATCAAAATGTATCACCTATGAACATTAGTAAACAACCGAAATAGGTTTATTCTATGTATGAAATTTATTTAAAACAGAATCATACCACTCATTATTTTTCAGGGACAATAAAGCACTTAAAATAGAAGTAACCAATATATAATCGTTTCTGAAATGTTATGTCAATTTTTTGTCCTATTCAATCATTAGAGAAACAGACATGCTACAGAACCTGTAAAATTGTATTTCCATGAAAAATAAAGATAATTCGATTAGTGTCAAAAGTAATCATGAGTTTGTTAAGAAAGTGAAGTATGCATAATTGAAATTCGATAGTCTAGCTATCATGTACTTGAAAAATCAATATTTAAACAGTTTACCTGATTAAAAGAGGATTTTATCACTAATAGTAAATTCATAAAATCATCTGAAGACTAAATCATTCATTATATTTATAAGTTATGAAATCTATCTGCATTAATTTGACATAGATAAACTTATGATGACTACTTAAATCTCTTAGTGATTGCAATAAGGTGGTTAATGGTTTCTTATCAACAAACAATAATAAATAAGAACTTTCGTCTAAATTTGAACGAATAGTTTCACAATATTTGGGCGCCGAGTTAATTTGAGTTCTTTTTAAACAACAATAATTTGAAAAAAAATTTGATAATTATTTTACCCGGGTTAAAAATTTTGCTTGTTGACAAATAAAGGTAAATAGTTTTATTAACTCGACGAGTATGATTGAGATTTTAAAGGCGAGGATTGGCAAAGCAAAGACAGCATTCCTACATTTGAAGAACATATGAAACTCAAGCAACTGTCAACCAATGTCAAAGTCAGAATATTTAATACGAAAGTCAAGGCAATTCTACTGTAAGGAGCTGAAACTTCGGGAACTATATGTATTTATAAACAGTTATCTATGTAAGATACTCAATATCCGTTGGCCGGATGCTATCAAGAACAGCCTACTATGGGAGAGAACAAAGCAGGTTCCATTTGAGGAGGAAATTAAGAAAAGACGTTGGAATTGGACAAGACACACATTAAAGCAATCATCAAATTGCATCACAAGGGAAGCGCTAACTTGGAATCCTAAATGGAAACAGAAAAGAGGAAGGCCGAAGAACATATTACGTTGGAAAATAGAAGCAGATATGAAAAGGATGAATAACAACTGGAAAAGATTGCCCAAGACAGAGTTGGATAGACAATGCTAATGAGTGGTTGATGCTCCTCCATAAGAGGGTAACACGTGTAAGTAATGATTCAGCTTTGTTAACTGATCAGTTAAGATTAAATGAACTTTAAATAATCAGTTTATTTATATCAGATAGATATTTTAAATCAAGCATCTAAAATATGATAAATCATAGATTGTTTTATATAAAGGAATTAAACAACCAATTTGAACTCATATATATATAATCATAGTTATAGTTAAACAGTAATTCCATAAAAACAATACAGATTATAATAAAATCAATAAACTAATGACATTGTATGAGAAAAAGAGAATCGATTGAAGAAAAACAGGATAAAAAAAACAATGACTAGTTCTATACAGAACCATTTTATCAACTATGAACAGATTCCTCAAATGATTCTTCTTTTAAAACAATAATGACACCTTTAATTTATAATTCAATTCATTAAAATTAAATAAATAAAATACAAAAATGGATCACTTACAACCATTTTATTCCTTGAACTGGATCCATTAAACTAATCATTAATTGAAATAATAATAATGATAATATAATTCCAAAAAATTTGGATTTTTGTTTATATAAAAGAAATAGTTGATCTGTTATAATTAAGAAATAGTTCAACTTTGTAATAAATGGCATAATCAATTTCAATTTTTCTTTTTTTTCTTTCTTTTCTTTTCTTTCTTTTCTTTCTTTCTTAGTTATTTATTTCATGAAGATTAAATGAAGATTGTGTAGTTGTTTGTTTATTTATTTTTTTTATTATTTTGATAAAGATGTAGAATTTTATCTTGTATGTATAAACAAGAAAAATAATGATTGCGTAACTCCTAGTAACAATAGTTATAATGGAATATGTATTTTAAATTGTTTCTTTATTATGAAATTCATATAGGTCAACAATATGTCAACATTTAAATGATCAAACGTGTATATATATAAGTATGACTGACATTATATCTTTAATAATGTTGTTAGTAGTAGTAGTATTAATAGTAGTAGTATATGTATTTGATAAGCATACTGACTAGTTAGTGTAATTGTTACAAGATGATAGACATTATCATAGTAATATGAAGATTCTTTTGTTTTCTAGATAAATAAATGAATTTTATGCACAAAACATTCACACATTAGAAAAAAAAAAACATGTACATACATTACATTTTGTATAAGTGTAGACTAATTTTGTCTACTGTTATTGTACAGCAGTTGGCTATTTATTTTTTTTCTATATTTGTTTTCTTTAGTGAGACACTTTTTCTATATACTTATAACTGAAGAATTAGACTTCGATTCCAGGTTAATGGAATGTTAATTTTTATGTATCGTATGTATACATCCCTATCACTTTAGTTAGGAAATGTACAATTGAGATTCTTTGTATGGATTTATGTACACATTTAAATGTATATGAATGAGAGAAAAAGATGAAATGAAGTATAGGTAGATAAGCAGTAATAAAATGAATCAAATACTATGAGTTATTTTCTTTCTAATATATTTCTTATACTACTTAAGAATCACTTTCATTTTTGTGCCAAAGAAACACAATTTATATTTTAGAATTTATTTCACAGTATACATAAGAATGCGTTGTTATGTGTGTTGATTTGTCTACAACATTCACTTCTACTGCCACTGTAAATTTTATCACCTATGTGTGTGTATATGTCTATATATATTAGTAGCATAATGATATTCATTCTTGTAAAATGTTATACAATCTATGGGCTTTAATAGATGATAGGGTAATATGTTATTTTTATCGCATTTTTCACCGAATATGAATAATGTTTCCAAATGTTTTAATAAATGTTTAGTTGTCCAGACATCTTGAACTGTAGTTTATGATACGGTGTAAGTATGCATTTATGTGTTTGTGTAGTTCTATATATACCTATAATAGGTAACAGGATCATTAGTTGAACAAAAGGGGTAAGTAAATATATATGCGCATAGATTTCAATTTATTATTTCAATGGTATTTTGCGAATAATACATATACACATATATTATTCTACATTATCTGTCTGCACACTTATGAAATACAATTAGGTGATGTTATGTGTTGGGCACAATAAGTAATAGTGTTCATATTTTTCAACGTTAAATACATTTGACCAAGCGTGTTACTTTACGATTGGTTAAACAATGAACATAAATCTAATTCAGATAATAACATGTTTAGGGGATAACAAAAACCAAAAAAAAAATGTATGTATAGATGGACATTCATGTTACAAAATTATATTCGTTGGATTAAATAATAAATTTATAGTGGTGTATGTGTGTTTTTGTTTTTTAATGTTAAACTTTAAAAGTTCAGTTTAATATCAGTAAAATGCCTTTGTGCTAATATACATGAATGGATATTCGCCATTTATCATAATACCATAATCTATAAGAATAAACCAAAACTACATGTATTTTGACATGAAGATCAACATTCCAATAATATGATAAAGAATAAAATAATGAATATTTTAGATATTTAAAAATATATCTTAAAATAATCTTATTTCATATAGTTTAAAATGATATTTTGCATTTCTGAGTACATCTACATATTATATTCTCTGATCTGTAGTAGTAGTAGTAGTAGTAGTAGTAGTCAAGGTGTTTAAAGTACAGTTTGATTATTTACTTATATCAGTGATTCATATAACTATGCTACTAAAAAAGGATATCCAATATTAACAGTAGTCAAAAAGTTCCCAACAATTATTTTTTATTATTGTCATTATCTAAGCTGCTTTATTAGTCTATTTCAATATGACAAAGTTTTAACAGGTTTCCCAGTTAGCTAATTGCAAGATACATTTCACTGAATAAAATTACTTATTGAACTGAAGGTAGGACTGGAATCCAAGATGAAAGTTTCTTCTTATTTGCGACTTGTTAGTTAAAATTTGATTATTTACATACCAACCAATTGTAAAGTTTTTTTTAAAAAAAACAACTTTATTCTCCTACTTACAACTTAAAAAAACTCTCTCCATATCTGAACAAATTTTTTTGGGTTAAGTTATTGAAAGTGATGGTCATTTAGCACGAATAGGATAGATCTCAGTATTTAGGAAATGTCAAAATTCTTGGTATTTTCATATATTTTTAAAGTATAACATTTGAATTAATTAAGAAATATCAAGCTTTATAATCAGTGTCCTATGAGGTTGAATTAAGTATTTCAGAGTAGAATAGGGTTATTAACTACACAGTATTATTATTTACTTATCTCTGATATCTTTATACTTAAATTTCCTGAAACCATGCATAAACTAGTGATCACATTAGATTCCCTATGAACTACTGTAGATTTGTACTTAAGTTCATATTGTAAACTTTCTCTTAATCTTATGAATAAATAAAATAAATACTAACTGATGATTAGATACTTCAATTTTATTTAAACATCTAATCCATAAACTATTCAATAGAGATTGTAATTTAATCTATGAACGTCATTTCTCATATCTATGTGACTATATAAGAAAATAAATCACTATTCATGTTATTTCCTTTCAAATGAACGATGTTTTTCTCCTTTTTTTTCTTTCTTTCTTTCTTCTTTCTTTCTTTCTTTCTACTTTTTATATTTACATTAGTTCGTTGTGAAAATCATTCAAACGTGAAGAATGCTTATTAATCATGACTATTACTTTTTACTCCTTTCCTTTATTATTATCATCATCATTCTTTTTCCATGTAACCTCCATTATGTTCATAGTAATTTTCAATTTCAAAAGGTTAATTACAATATTAAAGATAAACATTTTTTATTTTTATAATCAAAACATTTTCTACAATTAATCAGTTTTTGGAGCCATTTGTTTTGTTGGGGATTATTTTCTATCGGAATGTAAAAATGTCATTTAGTCAAATGATAAACGTTAAGTTTCATTCATTTGAATTATATGATTATGATTATGCAATAAACAAAACAATTTTGACGTTGGATCATTCATGAATTAATCATCTAGTTATGATAATATAATAATTTGTCTATGATTACAATTAGGTTCGTCTCCTTTCAATTATAAATACATAACAAAATAATTTTATAACTATATTAAGATTACTATCATGTATAACAACTATGGATTAGAATCATTTCCAATAGTTGACATCATGAATTAATTGAAGTTAGATCACTATGGGAAACATGGAAGTATTGGATAAGAATTGAATTTATATTTGATTTATTTCATCTTTGAATTGATTTAAATGTCATCCAATATTATTTATTACTTAATTCATTCATTTTAAGAGTTTAGATTTTGATAAAGATCCAAAAACAAAATGAATGAAATCAATCATCACTTGAGTCATTTACTATGATAAAAAGACAATAGAATTTATATATTCTTGTTATTATCATTATTTCTAAGCACCGAACTTTGATATAATGCTATACTGAAACATACAACATATAAATAAAATAAATAAAAGTAAGGAAAGAGTATAAACAACGTAATCTAACACAGAAAGTAATTCAGATAAGAACATAATTAATTATAGTTTTGTTCTGGTTTAGAGTATGTCCTACTATTTGTACACAGTGTTAAATAACATTAAGTAGCACTATAAGTATCGTGAATTTTCAGTCACCTAATATTGTCAGAAGTCACTTAGTTTTCTTTTCATTGTGCCCCTAGCCAATAGGTTGTTATATATACCAAATGTCTGCATCCCATCACAATACAGAACAGGGGATACCATGCATAGTAACCAGTATGCTAGTCCCTATTGTTGCTGATGAATCAAAGTTGATATTTAGAAGCACATAAATAAGGTAAGATTTATATTTCATTGAAGATATTTCAAGACTGAAGCTTTGAATTACTTGGCAATCTTGATAAGTTATTATACTCAGTCGTTGTTGCTTTTTGGGCTAAGATTAGTTTTAATTGGCTAATTGTATGGGTATATAATAAACGTTAAGCGTAAAATCGATCCATTTGAATGATGTTTTCATCATTTATTTCCGATTAAGTTCATTGGAATCTATGTGGGTGGTATACTGAATAGAGAAAAAATGCACCAGTACAATGGATACTAAGTCAACAAACCCGTAAACTTGTTTTTGTGATTTGTAAAAGTACCACTATGAATTTTCATTCTCGTAAGTAAATAAGTAAAAACACGAAATACCCCATTGCAAAAATTGTTTATTTTCAAAACAATTTCTAATTTTGGCTTTATTCATATATTTCTTATTTATCTTTCAGTTAGACGTTTTCATAAGGTTTTGTATCATGTATTTAAGTCTACTATATCGAGGCAGACTGTAAAAGGAAAACTTAATGAGTTACTAACTCAAAATCTCAAATAAATGATCTGCAAAACCATTATGTTACCAATAGATTGAGAATTTTCTTAGTAAAACAACCAAATTTATTATAAATGTCATATAAACTCTAGATAGTTGCAGAATAGAAGATTTGAGTGCTCTTTAAACACTGAGAAAACCAACGCATAACTAACAAGCTTGATTCTTGTCTAGCATATTACATTCACTCAAGAGTATTCCTTCATAGACGTTCACAAATATACGTTTACCTTTCAAAATAAGGTCAGAAATTACTTTTATTTCATTTACTATTGATTTTGTTTTTAACAAACATACCAAGTTGAAT